GAAGCTCCCCTAACTGATTATTTCCAGAATTTGCCATTATCATGGGAGGATTGCTGTGTGTGTGTGTGTGTGGACTGACGGAGTGTTGAAGTTTAATGTTCTGATCATTAAATTATCAGATGCATAGTTACACATGCTGCAAAGAAGAGCATGTTATCATTTAATAATGTACAATCTGGGCTGCCAGATGAATAACATCTGCCCTGTGAATGATGTCGGGGAGTGCCCTGGTGAATGATATTTTCAGTCTGCTTTGTCAGACTGCAGACCACAAGCACAACGCGGAGCAATATAAATTATCCTGCAAAGGCTGTTTCTGCCATCCGGACTGCTTCCATAGAAGTTTTACTATACAAAGCGTGATAACGGAACATAATGTATCGATAGGTTTAGTTCACAGTCACCCAGTACCGGGATGTATACTAATAAACACATGAGCACCTAACCAGGCAAAAAGTAATCCAATAAGAAAACTGATAATAAACTCTTGTCATAAAAATGATTAAATCCATAAAAATGTAATACGAACAAATTCCCAAAGTTCTCCTATCACAATAAAGCTTATGTGTAGATAACCTAACGCCGTTTAAGGTCAGATTTCAGACTATTCCATTAAGGGGAACACTGAGGATAGAAATATTGGCACTGTATTGCTGACTTTCTTTGAAAGGTACAAGCTCCATGGCTGACATTTGTGTTTTACTGCTCTGTGGGCAGGGCCGGTGCTAGACTATTTTGCACCCTAGGCAAGACCAGCTACTTGCACCCCCCCCTGCAGCGCAGCCCCCAATACCCCCCTCAGTGAGCGCAGCCCCATTCTTCTGCTGTATAGCTTCCAGAGGCGATAGATGGATGTAAGCATTTGGGGAATGTCACCAGCACACCAATTTCTTTACAGCAAATAAGTGATTATTTATTGACGTATGCTTTCTCTTGTTTTGCAATCGCTTTCAGGGCCGCGTATGGTCCCCTTCATTAGGGTCAGAGATGGATGTAAGCAGCTGGGAAAATAGCCAGACTGCTATTGGCTATTTTATTTTGAAACAGCCAATTGCAGACTGGCTATTGAAACACCAGCAACTGAGCAGAGGAGCGGACCTGAGAGAGAAAGTTGTCTCTCAGTTCCACTCCTCTGCTCAGTGGGAGGGGGGAATAGCCAGCCTGCTATTGGCTTTTACAATTTGAAATAGAGGAAAACGAAACGAACGTTCGTGCGAACGCTACCGAATTTCGTCCGAATCCGAATTCCGAATCCGAATTGACTTTCACACCCGAATCCCGAAAAACGAAATAACACAAATCCGAATTTAAAACGAAACGAAACAAATTTTTTGGCTGTGCACATGTCTAATAATAATACACTTATCTGCATGGAGTTTACATGTTCTCCCTGTGCTTGTGTGGGTTTTCTCCGGGTACTCCGGTTTCCTCCCACACTCTGAAGACATGCTGGTAGGATAATTGGTTTCTGTCTTAAATTGGCCCCAATATATTCTACTGAGTGTGCCCAAGATGGCTGCCTCACCTCCTATGTACCCAACCAACAATTTGAGTTTACCTTGCAGCCATAAGGGCTGAAACCCAACCAGGACACTATCTGCATGGAATGTACATGTTCTCCCTGTGCTTGTGTAGGTTTCCTCTGGGTACTCCGGTTTCCCCCAACACTCTAATGACATGCTGATAACTGCTTCCTGTCTTAAATTTGCCCCATTATATTCTACTGATTGTGCCCAAGATGGCTGCCTCACCTTCTATATGCCCAACCACCAATTTGAGTCCTCAGGGAGTAAAGCACTATAGAAATATAGATTGATGGACCAATGCAATAACTGATAAACATACACAAAGGAGATTTAAACTCTATCTCTCTATCAGCTTGGTGTAGTATTGCCACTGCATGCACTGGAATGTCTAAGGGCCCATTCACACTGGTGTGGGCCCACACTGCACCTAAGATGATTCATGCCACACAATTCTTAGTACAGCTTACCGTAACACACAGGTCGTTCACCTCTGTGTGCTTTGGTGCATCACAACGCATATGCTCTTAAGTGTGTTGAGGTGTTCTTCAAAAAGAGTAACAATGCTCCACACTGCAGAGCACACATTGCTGTGCATCTTACAGTGCGTTACAGTGCATTACCACAATGCACCAGTATGAATGGACCCTCAATGCCATACTATTTGCCATAAACAATAACAGTGGAAGTGAAGTGATTAGAGAAAAATGGAGAAGGAAAGTGATTGGAGAGTTAGAAAAATGGGTATTTAAATAAATGCGCTCAGAATCTCTTGGACATGCAGCAATTCTTTAAAGGAGAACTATGAGGTGAGTGCTTTTCACTCATCCTCATAGTTCTAGCCGACCTGGGACAATGAGACTGTCACAGGTCGGCTCAGTAGATCGGGAGGTGAGCGAACACATAACTGTGTTCGCTCACCTCTCAATCCTGTCACGGCTCTCTGCCGTGACAGGGGAGGGGCTGGATTCCCCCCTCCCCGCTCCGATCCGCCAGCGCTGACTGGCGGAAAGGACGGGGGAGGGGGCGGGTACAGCTGGCTCTGCCTCTAGATAGGCAGAGCCAGCTGTCAGTCATGCAGCTGCGCGCATCCCGGCACAATTGTCGGGATCCACTTCAGCTGCCGCTTCTCAGTATACCACGAGCTGCTGCGGCGTCTCAGTATACCGCGAGCTACTGCTCGCGGTATACTGAGCCTAGGGTGACGGGAGGACGCTAGTTTGTGTCCTCCCGTTACCCTAAGGAGAACTATGGGGAAAAGCCTTAACCCCATAGTTCTCCTTTAATAAAAGTAACATGTTTCCACTGGTTGTCAATGCCAATTGAACGCTACAGTGTAAGATAAAATGAAATGTTACAGTCTAATAGAAAATCCACTCTGGGCACAGTCATGTTTCATAATGTATCTGTAGAATGGAGGACTCTATAGCTACATGCAGTGTTCTGCATCTTGATTTTCCACTGTCAGTACTGAGCAATGGCAGCATGTACCACATATTGGCATCAATTGTCTTAGGTCAAAAAAAAAAAAAAAGAGGTGTTTGGCAGTGCCAAAACAAGGTCTATGAACACCCAAGCAACAAGGCCAAAGTACACCTCTCCATGAACAGTGAACTATGTCAGCAGTATAAGTTGCAGGCCTTGCCATTTTTGCACCCTCCTCCTACTGTGGTGCCCAAGGTGGCAACCTCTTCTGTGCCAGGAAAGAATAAAAGGCCAAGGTTGGGGCAAAGATGCACCATGTGTACAATGGTTATGATGGGCAATGCAAGGGTGGATATCATTGAGAGTTCTGCCTATTATTAAGTGTCACCAAGTCCAAGTCAGCTCCTGATGATCACATGGATAGTGTTTCTCCAGAATGATTTGTCATCTACTTTGGTCTTCAGTCTTCACAATGGCATGTTCAAACTTTCTGTGACTGTATCCAGCCATTGTGTCACTGGTCATCCTCTCCATCTAACATATAAGCTGAGAGTACATCCATATTTGAATGTAAATGGCAGAGTAGGTAAAAACTCGAGTTGGTGGACCATGTGTAAAATGATTTGTCTTCTACTTGGGTCTTCAGTCTTCACAATGGCATGTTCATGCCTTCTGTGACTGTGTCTAGCTATCATATCAGTGGTCATCCTGTCCAGCTAACATATCAGCTGAGAGTAAATCTATATTTGGATCTAAATGGCAGAGTAAGTAAAAGCTCCAGATGGTGGACCATGTGTAAAATAATTCGTCTTCTACATGGGTCTTCAGTCTTCACAATGGCAAGTCCATACCTTCTTTAAAACTGCCATCATACCACTGGTCATCATCTCCATCTGAAAAATCAGCTGAGAGTAAATCTGTATTTGTATGTAAATGGCAGAGATGGTGGACCATGTGTAGGACGTAAGTGGTGGACAAAATACACCAGCTGAATTTTTGTTTATATGGCATCATCTTCCAATACCTTGGGGACAAAAGAAAGGGAGCATCAAGGTCCACATTTTAAAACTGCTAAAGGATTATGGGTTGAGCATTGAAAGTGGAAGTTTTTTCACAACCGCGGGCATTTGTCAAGAATCACAGTAAGTGTTAAAAGTTCCAGTTTCACTCAGAAGTCTCCAATTGTCCAATTGCTTTAACTCGCCATCATCTACTTACCTAAAACATTTTCAGTCCAGGTCCACTTTAAAGGAAACGGTGCAGAGAGACATATGCGGGCTGCCATTGCTGGCCTCTCTTTCTGACAATGCTAGTATCCAGGCCAGGGCTGTAGCTACCATGGGGTGAGTGAAGCACTCACCTCAGGTGCAGCTAAGAGGGGATGCAGCCAGGGCCGGCCTGGCTACGCCCCTGTTCCCATGGCAGGCACAGGGCGCCAGGCGGCCAACACAGTTGCGTTTGGCAGGGAGAAGAGGAGCGGCACAGGCTCCAGCTTCTCCTCGGATCACCTATGGTCTCCCCCGCCTGTATAGGCAGAGGACTCTGTGTCCTCAATCTCTTTTTCTATTTCAAAAGGGAAATGTCAGGGGTCTGTTTAGACCCCTGATATTTCCCTGAAGCCCCCCCCAACAGTAAGAAAAATAAAATAATAACCCCCCCCCCACACACACACACACACACCCACACCCACCCACCCATGCTATTTTGGATTTGGCCACCAACGCATTCTGCGCATGCGCGCTGCTATCCTGGAGGTGAGGTGCATGACATCACATAATGCACAAGTCTGTTGGGGGGGACACAACTTTCTGTTCTTGCCTCGGGTGCAAAAGGAGCTAGCTACGGCTCTGGTCCAGGCTTTCATGCTGCTTAGATGGCAGCCTACACATTTCACCTAGTATAGGTTTACTAGCACTCTTAGACCTAAAGCAAAACGAACAAGTTTATGAGTCCTAAGTGACCTGTGATCTCCCCTTGAAGAACATTTCAAATGTTATGACATCCTTACAGGTTTCATTTGTTTGAGGTGTAAAGACAACATCTTGTTTCACCATGGTGGCTGGGCCTCACAAGACTGATCTTTGCCCTGTAGAAACAAGTGTTTTCAGGTGAGATCATATCTATATGTGTCCCCTCGTAGGCACACACACAGGGATTGATTTTTGATATTTTCTAGAGTGTCCTCAGGAATGTCCATTTGTATCCTTCAAGTGCAAGAAGACTGGTTAACCACCGCTCTGGGCTAACGATGCACTTAAGAAGCATAAGCACTGGGGTTCGGCCAAGCTGGCCAGTCTGGAATTTGTCTGAAGCAGAGTCTACAATGTATCCTGCAGTGGTTGTTTGTATTCACCCCGTGACCCCGTTTCTATCAGAACCGAGTGTAATTACATCCAATCCACAAAGCTGGTCAGACTCTTCACAATTAATGACACACTTTAGTTGCTGCTAATTCTCCGGCAGCTTCGGCCTGTTTAGTAACAGTGCAAAGATCAACTGGTGAGATCCCATCATCTACTGGTGTTGCTTCAGTAAAGTGAATTCTGATTGGTTGCCATTGGCTACTGCATGTTTGTCCTTGCACCATTTATTTTATTAGCCTGAGCGTGTCTAGGGCAGTGATAGTCAACTTAAAGGAGAACTATGAGGTGAGTGAAAATCAACACAATGAAACTGTCACGTCGGCTCAATAGATCAGGAAGTGAACGAACACATACCGTCGCTCGCTCACTTCTCGATCCTGTCCCTGCAGAGAGTGGTGACTGTCACTCACGGCTCCCTGCAGGGATTCCCCCCCCCCCGACCCTCCAGCGCTGACTGGCGGAACGGACGGGGAGGGGGCGGGTACAGCTGGCTCTGCCTCTAGATAGGCAGAGCCCGCTGTCACTCACGCAGCTGGGTGGATCTCAACAGTAATGTCGGGATCCGTCTCGGCTGCGGCGGTCTCAGTATATGCTGTAGCTCGCGGTATACTGAACTTTGGGTCATGGGAGGATGCTGGTATATGTCCTCCCGTGACCTTTAATAGAACTATGGGGAAAAACACTGACCCAATAGTTCTCCTTTAAGTAAAATAGGGGGCCTCAAAGGTTCCAGGTTGCTAAGAACTCAAGGAGCTCTAACTGTGAGGGATGGCTGATTGAAGGAGTAGATGTACAGTTTTAAGAGGAGGTGGAATGGGTCGCTCCTAAGAGGTGAGTTTTCAGGGATTATATGAATTAAAGTGACACTAAACTCCGGAGTTAAATCTTAAAAATACATTCAAGAGCCTTAATTATTAACAATAGTGGGGAGGATTTATAAAATCTGGAGCAGACAAAATGTGGAGCAGCTGTGCACAGCAACCAATCAGCTTCTCTCTTTCATTTTCAAATCTTTACTGAACAAACTGAAGAGAGAAGCTGATTGGTTGCCATGCACAGCTGCAGCTGCTCCAGATTTTGTCTGCTCCAGTTTTGATAAATACCCTTTAATGTCTCTTATTTGTGTATCACTGGGCTGTAGATCCTCAAATCATCTCTGAATTGGTGCTGACACTATCCTTCCTTCTGGAGGGGGGCTACTTTTGTTCCCCATGGTCCCTGTGTGTGTTGTAATGTAGTCACCGCTCCAAACTCTCTCCCATGATGGACTACAATCTCAATACAAATGAACTATACACTAGTTTGTAGTCCATCACAGGAGTGAGCTTGGAGCGGTGACTTTACAACACACACAGGGACCATGGAGAACAAAAGTAGCCCTCCTCCAGAGGGAAGGACAGTGTCAGCACCAATTCAGAGATGATTTGAGGATCTACAGCCGAGTGTTACACAAATAAGATACATTTTTGTTAATAGCTAAGGTGCTTGAATGTATTTTTAAGTTTTAGGGCCGGTTCACACCTGGGCGATCCGTGACCGCGTGGCAATCGTGCACGATACCGCGAAGATTGCCTTACGGTCACGGAGTTGCCCATCACTGACGATCGCGCTGTGGATGCCATTATTGTCTAATGGCACCCCAGTCTCGTCGGGGTGGATCGAGCGGTTTCCCGCTGCGATTCCCCGCTGCGATTCCCCTGTGCATCCGAACACGATCACGGCTAAAACAGCCGCGCGTCATGTATCGCAAAAAAAAAAGGTACATGTACCTTTTTTTCTGCGATTGCTGCGCAGATGTACCCCATTAAAATCAATGGGGCCGCGCTGCAATTACTGTCTGCAATCGCGCAGGACCGTGCAAACCCGGGACGCGTGTCCCGGATCTCTCAGGTCTGCATCGGGCCTTAACTCCTGAGTTTAGTGTCACTTTAACTCAATAGGTGGACTCTTCTCAACAATAGTGAATTTCTATTGTTTTTGCACTAATAGAGGCCTGGGATGTCTGCTGTGAATTTCTGTTGTTGTTATTATTATTATTGTTATCATTATTGTTATTATTATTATCATTATTATTATTGTTATTATTATCATTTTTATTGTTATTATTATTATCATTATTATTATTGTTATTATTATCATTTTTATTGTTATTATTATTATCATTATTATTATTGTTATTATTATCATTTTTATTGTTATTATTATTATCATTATTATTATTGTTATTATTATCATTTTTATTGTTATTATTATTATCATTATTATTATTGTTATTATTATCATCATTATTATTATATAATAATACAAATATCTCCAAGGACATACAAGACAGAGGCGCGCTTCATCGTTTATTTTCTTGATTCTTTTCTGGACATGATTATGGTCAGAAAGTTAACAACGCCGACGACCAATTGTCTCCCCGAACACGATTGTTGGATATTTGTATTTATGAATTACAGATATTTATGTAGTGCCGACAATTTTACACAGCGCTTTTCATACTGCACATTCCCATCAGTTTATATTTCAACAGATAATGTTTCATCAGTGCTATCAACAGACTTAACCGTCCCCCCATAAAAAAAAAACAATGAAAAATATGTATTAAGAATAT